ATGTGGGACAAGAATTAATGTAAGGGGGTAGGTCTAATCTTTTGCCATTTTCCTGCTCAAAATCCCTCCCTTCACCAGGCTCATCCCAGGCCTTATTGAAAGTTTCAGGTGTGGCTGGGCACAATGGCTCACGCCTATGATCGCAGCACTTTGGGAGGCCGGGGCGGTTGGATCACTTGAGGTCAGGAGTTTGAGACCAGCCCGGCCAACATGGTGAAATATCATCTTACTAAAAATACAAAAATTAGCCAGGTAAGGTGGTGGGCACCTGTAATCCCAGCTGCTCGGGAGGCTGAGGCAGGAGAATCACTTGAACTCAGGAGGCAGAGGTTGCCATTGGCCGAGATTGTGCCACTGCACTCCAGCCTGGGCGATAGAGCTGAGACTCAGTCTCAAAAAAAAAAAAAAAAAAAAAGAACATATGACAGCTGATGCTTCAACTGCCCCAAGAGGAGTCCTTGCTTTCAGTAATCCAAGGCCCTGGCCTGCATGTTCACCCCCAAGCGGGACCAAAAAAAGCGTCCCCAGTCCCAAGCAAGTCAGGGACATGCCACTCAGAGCCACCTACAGAGTCGGGATGCCCGGTAACTGCTGCATTTCAAGGGCAAGTGGATGACACAGCAGCCTGCTAGTCTTGGTATCGGATCTGGGTAGAAGTGAAAAGCATTCAGTGAAAATTTGTGACAGAGACCTGCACCACACCTCATTTAGGGGTTCCAATTTGTCATATCTTGAGTGGATCCAGAATACCTAAGATTAAAAGTAGTGTGAAAAATTGTTACTGGTCTAAAATAATCCTGGACAACCCAGAAGCAACAAATGAGAAATGGCTCTGAGGGGATCCACCCTCAATCAATCCTCCCAGGATTTCCACAGAAAACCCCCTGAAATGAGCTTGTAATTCAAAACTGTACAGAATTGATCAATACAACTGAGCGCAGTGGCTCCCGCCTGTAATCCAAGCACTTTGGGAGGCTGAGGCAGGCAGATCACAAGATGAGGAGTTTGAGACCAGCCTGGCCAACATGGTGAAACCCCGTCTCTACTGAAAATACAAAAATTAGCTGGGCATGGTGGCGTGCACCTGTACTCAGGAGGCTGAGGCAGGAGAATCCCTTGAACCAGGGAGGCAGAGGTTGCAGTGAGCCAAGATCGCACCACTGCACTCCAGCCTGGGCAACTTAGAGAGACTCCATCTCCAAAAAACAGAAAACCAAAGAATTGATCAATACAGGGCAACAGTGCAGTCATCACGCTCAAGAATCAGCAAACTCCCTGCAGGATTCAACCCACAAGAACTGAAGATAATTGGTCAGTCTGATAGAGGTAAGTAAATTTAAAATAATGCAAATATAAAAGAATACAAAAGCAGACACTATGAAAAGAGAAAAGCATTGTGGAAAAGGAATCAAATAGAAATTCTAGAAATGAAAAAATTATAGTCACTGGAATTACCATGTATATTTGAACTATATACAGACGGGTTAGAGAACTGAATAGACGTGGAGCTGAAAAGGGAATTGTTTTATCAGGAAATTCAGAAGGAAGCCCAGAAATGAAGAAATATTAATAGAAAATAGACAAAAGAGGTTAAGAGACGTGGACATGAGAATACAGCATATTGCTAGTTCCAGAGAAAATGGGAAAGGGGAACAGATACTCCAAGAGCTATTGCCTGAGAATTTTGTAGAGTGGAAATGCATCAATCCTCAGTTTTGGGGAGGACAGCAAGTTCTGAACAAGATAAGCCAAATGAATGGATTTTTTCATACTGAATTCTCATACTGAAAATTGTGATTTGCAGTATATACTCATTTCCTTCAAAGTGACAAAAAACCCTTATAATAAAAAAGACTAAAATTGTATTTGTTGTAACGTCCTTGTTGCTGGGAGGTGTGGTAAAATCATTTATTCGCAGGATGTGGTGTAACAGAAATGTGCAAAACCAGGAGTCGGTGCGTAATGGTTCTTTGGAAGACATCTAGCAGGATGGCTGTGCTGACCACGCCCTTCCTTTCAAATTTATCTTTCATGCTTCTTATCTGGAGTTTTGTGTCTGTAGGGTACAGGCAGGAAACAGATGGCCCACTCAAACTGGATATGAAGGAAGTTTAAGACTGTTTGCAAGGACATGGGCAGGGGGTAGGGAAAACTGATGGTGCAGCTCCGGGGTCCAGCAACAGTGAGAAGCCATCACCACTGCCAGGAGAGGGCTGGAAGAGGGGTGAGCTGGCACCCAGAGAGCCACCTGCACAGAGAGGGCTAAGTGTGCGGCAGGAGCTGTGGCCCTCTGAAGGGCCCTGCAGCCAATCTGCACAGCAAGAACCGAACCCCAACAGACATTTGTCCAGCAGAGTCCTGGTTTGCTCCCATCGTTCTTTCTCAAAAGTACCACGGTTTGGACAATAAATGGTTGATCACTAGTACAAAAGTGCCTGTTGGTACAGTCCATACAGAACAGCTTTCTGACAAAGCAAAGCAGAGAAGGATGGAGAGTGAATTGGGGGGTCAGGGAAGCAATGGAAAATATTCAGCATGAACATCTACTGCTCGGTAGTAAATGTCTTGTTGTTTTTTTGAGACAAGGTCTGGCTCTGTCATCCAGGCTGGAGTGCAGTAGCACAATCTCGGCTCACTGCAACCTCTGCTTCCCGGGCTCAAGACATCCTCCCACCTCAGCCTCCCAAATAGCTGGGATTACAGGCATACGTCACCAGGCCCAGCTTATTTTTGTATTTTTTGTAGAAATGTGGTTTCAGCATTTGCCCGGCTGGTCTTCAACTCTTGAGCTCAACTTAACTGAGCCTGCCGCAGTTACTGAATACCCAAGAGAACAGTGATGGTGGGCAGGGGAGAGGAGGGTGGGAAGTGGGGGGGTGGGGGATGGAGAGAGCAGGGGGATTTTTCTTGAGAAGAAACTGTTAGGCTCCCTCTTTAGATTTTCACTAAGGGAGGTTTGGTTTGTGGTAAAGGGGTGAATTTAGGCTTCTGAGCCAGGAGACATTTAATCTGTCTGCCTCAGCTGTCTGCCTCTCCAAGTGCTAGGATTACAGGCATGAGTGCTAGGATTAAAAAGACTGGCTATGTCTTCTTAATTAAACCAGCTTTATTGAGACATAATTCACATACCATAAAATGCACCCTTTTAAATTGCAAATTTCAGTGATTTGTAGTATATTCACAATTGTCCAACTATCACCACGGATCAGTTTTAGAACACTTTTATCACCCCTCAAACCAACCCCCTACCTATTAGCAGTCACTTTCCATGTCTCCACAATCTCCCTTGTCCCTAGCCCTAGGTAACCGCAAATCTACTCTGTCTCTATGGATTTGCCTATTCTGGACATTTCACACAAATGAATCATATAATATATGGCCTTTTTTATCTGGTTTCACTTAGCATAAGGTTCTCAAGGTTTATCCATGCAGCAGCATGGGTCGATACTTAATTTTTTTATGGCTGAATAATATTTCATTGTGTGATTATATCACATTTTGTTTATTCATCAGTTGATGGATATTTGAGTTGTTTCTACTTCTTGGGTGTTACTAATCAAGGTGCTATGAACAGTTGCATGAGTGAACTTTCTGTGTGGTCATGTTTTCGATTATCTTGGATATATACCTATAATGGAATTGCTGGGTCATATGGAAAATCTATATGTAACCTTTTGAGGAACTTCCAGAGTGTTTTCCCGTAAATGTTTTTTTATTTCTTATAATTAATAAGGTTTTTTACAGCATGAAATGGTAGAGGCATTGTCCATCTGTTTGAAACAGTTGACATTATCCAGCCACGTGAAAAGATCTGGCTGCTGTGAGGTCCCCTAACAGTCACTGTGGTGTGGTAAATCTCTCTATTCCCTAGCTATGTACTCATAGCAGATTGTTTATTGAGTCTTCAAATAGCATGATTTTAAAGATTTTAAAATTTGTTTTGGAATAAACCATTATTTGGATGTTTCCAGGCAAGAAAACATCCTAAGACACTCAGGCAAACAAAATCATATTAATTAATCGTCAATTAATAGTCTGACTATGTCAGTCTCTTGTAAGTTTGGCTAGTAGGAGTCTGTCACTGAGAGCTTAACTCTGGATTTATGGGCAGGGCCAAGATTCTGTTCTTTTGTGTGTATTCTGGTTTGTTTGGCCAACAGAGTATATTAAACGGCACTGGCAGACATTGGAGAAAGATGTTGAACACCAGCAGTTTGGCATCTATCATCTTTGCTCTGCCGACTTTATATATTTAAGTAAACTGGGTGGCTCACAGCTTCCGCCCCATGGCAATTCTACCAGAATGCCTGCAATTTCAAGAAGTTTTACTTGTGCAGACAGCAGACTTTCTTCTCCTAGGTCTCGAGCTTTTCTTTGAAATCAACAACAGAAACATCAACATGGGAGCCTTATTTTTAACAGGGGCAGTGTGTCAGATGGAATGGGCATGGGGTTTGAAGTCATAGAAACTCAAGTTCAAATTCTGGTGTTTCGGTGTTTCAGCTGTGTCCCTGAGCAAACTACTTGACTGGCCCATGCCATTGCGTAAAAGACAAAATGTAATGCTCATTTTGAGATCTTGAGAATTAGAGAAAATATGATTACTTAGCTTAGTCTGCAGCAGTTACTGAGTGCCCAAGAGAACCGTGGTGGGTGAGGGCAGGGCGCAGGGGGATTCTTAACAAGAAACTGTTAGGTTCCCTCTTTAGATTTTCGATAAGGAAGGCTTGGTTTGGGCGAACAGGGGTGAATTTAGGCTTCTGAGTCAGAAGACATTTAATCAATTGTTTCAAAGCAGTTCAGCCTTGTTTACTTTTAATAATGGGTGTGTTTGCTTTTAATAATAAGAACCAGACCCAGCCCTTCTATTTTCTGAAGGTGGTGAGCAGACAGATGATTGTGACCTGGAGTTCATCAGTAATCTTTACAGCCACAAGTGGCCAGCAGCCACGGGCAACAAGTGAAAACAGGTTTTGTACAGGGAACCATTTCATTTGCAGGGTGGGCAATGCTATTTACCTGGGATCCTATCCAGCAGCTTCAAAGGTGATGGCGGCCATTACCCAACTAATAAGCACAACATCCCCTGGCTCCCCGTCCTCAAGGCAGGAAGATGCTGTGATGCGCATCAGGAGATGGAGGGAAAAGAAATGACTTGCCCACCTGAGTGACAGGTGAGTCACAGCCTCTCTGGGCCTTGCTTTCCTCATTTGTAAAATAAGAGGGTTGGTGCCTTCTGGGTGATGTCTTCCATCTGAGTCTGACTGACCTGCAGGCCTGATTTTAAGCTCTGTGGGTTCTTCATCTGTTTTAGGTATCTAGACATGTATATCTGTCTCTGTGTGTAAGTGCGTGTTTATGTGTTGCAGAAACAGTTGGGAAAAGAGATTAAGGAAGAGATGATGCTGTTGGCTCCAGGCAGTGACTCAAGGAGGCATTCATGGTGAAAGAAGAAAGACCTTTCTCAGGTGATGCTTCATCTTCCCCCATGTGCCCTGACACCCCTTGATGTGTCTATAAATACAAACAGCAGGAGGCCCGAATTACTAGACAAAGCAGGCAGCCACAACCTGTTCTTCTTCCCAATGGCCACTGGGGCAGTTCCTTTCCCCCAAAACTTGTTGTTTATATTTATTTTACCCTAAAGCTATTTTAACATAAACCTATTGAAATAGGAGAGGGCTTCCCATCTGATACCTCCACAGACATGTCTTTTCTAGAACAAGTTTAAGACTAATCGTAAAACGAAAATACGCTGGGTGCGGTAGTTCATGCCTGTAATCCCAGCACTTTGGGAGGCCAAGGCGGGTGGATCACAAGTTTAGGAGTTTGAGACCAGCCTGACCAACATAGTGAAACCCCATCTCTACTAAAAATACAAAAATTAGCCGGGCATGGTGGCGTGCGTCTGTAGTCCCAGCTACTCAGGAGGTTGAGTCAGGAGAATCACTTGAACCCAGGAGGCAGAGGTTGTGGTGAGCCAAGATCCTGCCATTGCACTCCAACCTGGGCAACAGAGCGAGTCTCTGCCTCCACGCTCCGCCCGTCAAAAAAAGGAAAACAGATTTCCACAAAGTTGTTCTTTATAATCTAATTTTTTTTTTCTGACAGGCAGCTTAATACTTCAAAGGGCAACCCGTTCCTTTATTGGATACAACTAATTGTTTGAGATTTTCTTCAGCCTGAGTTGAAATTTTTCTTCCTTCATCAAAGTGAAGGAAGGACCTTGTATACAAGGAAGGTCTTTGTATAAAGGACCTACCTATCGTGAAGGTACCATCTCTCTTTAAACTTTATCTCCCAAAGGAGAAATATCTATAGCCACACAATTCATGTACATTTTAGTCATTGGGTCTCTATGACTATTATCATTATAGAAAATATTCTAATATAATAATAATTTGAAAACTGGATTTTAAGAATTCAAATTTAGAAATAGCAGTTTTCTCAAGAGACTCATTCATGAATATGGAAAGATCCTTTATCAAGTAATCCCCCCCGGGGGTCCTTTAAATAGCAATCTTCTTCATTTTGATTCAATTTGTAGAAATCCCATTTAGATGCATTACTGGACCACCACATTGTGTAAAGGAAGGTAAATTGTGTGTTGGGTAACCATTTGGCTCTCTCTTTCTTCCCAACTTGTGACTAATTGATTTTGCCATTAATTGGGATTTCCCCTAGAGACCATTTGATCTGTTTGCAGGATGAGCAGGGAATTAGGGCAGCCCCTCCAGATGGGATGGCTTTCAATAAGCAGACAGTGCAAAGGGGCATCAGAGTGATACAGAAACGATTAATTGAATAACTCACTTGAAAATCATGTGCTGCTTTAAAGACCCACAAGCTAAGTAAATACCTAGGTAAAGACTTTACTGATCAAGTAAGGCTCCCTGTTGTCGCCTGGTTGAGAACAACGCCAGGAAAAAAAAAATTTAAGAGCATCCCATGAGTGGATACTATAAAATATAGGAAGCGCAATTCTAGGCAATAACATACTATAATCCTGATAACACTCACATTCACACTCTACATAATTTATGAAGCATTCTCACAGATACTGTTGCACATCTCACACTGACATAGGGGGTGGGTTGGCTGTGAAAGGGCTAAACTGGACTTACATTCCAGGAGCAGAAACAGGCTTGGAGCTGTGGACCTCTCAAAGGCACAGAACTAGTAAGTGGCAGAAATAGTGCTAGAACCCAAAACTTCTGATTCTAAATTTCTTAACAACACACAGCACCATCTCCCCAGTGCACCACAGCTAAAACCACCTTATTGGACTCTTGTTTTACTCTGGAGAAGAATGCATACTGACTGAGGACTCTGCTCCATGCCTGCTAAAATATCTGACATTTGAGGACACAGATTGCTAGATTGTGTCAAGCAAGATTGCTACCTGCCCAAAGCATCTAAGTCCTGGGATACATGCCTGCATTATTTTCTGATATTTCTAAAGCAGTGGATTCCTTTCTATGGGCCGTGAAGAGAGGGTCCTCCATGGAATGTGCTGAAGGGATTCATGCATCCTTGAACCATCAAGTCTTGCCTATGGAGGGACTGAATGTACAAATGGGCAATGGGCAATGGCCAGACCATATATAAAAGTAGAACTTGAACCCCAAACTTGCAGCAGCCTACCCAGGAAACCAACCTCCTTATCCACAATAACCAGCCCAGAACGCCAGCTTACTCTAAGTCAGACTTGCAGGAAGCCAGAATTGCTATCCCTAGTAACAAACCGGGACACTAAACAATAACTTCTGTAACAATTGACCCAAAATGGCAGGATTTGATTAATAGCCGACAGCCTTCCTGATTTTTGTCCCTGTTTCCAATTCAGGTTCAACCAGAGAAAGCAAGAGATGCACCCTAATCAATCACATAGGATGCCCCACTTCTGGGTAACTGGCTCCAGCTTCCCCAGGACAACAGCACCCAATCAAGGCACACTGAAACCTTCCCTTTTTCCCATTTGATAGGTTTTCCCACTTCTCTTCCTGCTTTTGAGTCTCTTTAAGAATGAGGATTTGGTGTTTGACTCCCTTGCTATAGCGAGCTTAGAATAAATAGCTTTTGCTTTTCTCATTTGGTTTGTCTTTGTTTATGTCCACAGTATAAATCTGAGAAATTGTATGTCTCATTCATACATATACCCTTCTCTCCAAATATTTGTAGCTACTGTTGTGATGTACAAAACACAAATTCAGTTAGAATGCACAATGCCTAGCCTGTGGAACCACTAACATTTTACTTTGTGGTATGATGCATTAACCCCCTGCATTAATAAAGAATAAAGTGCATTTATAAGTACTAGTTTTTAAAAATACTAAGTGTAAAAGCACATTGCGAAGCAGCACTTATATTATTATCCCAAATTGTAGACACAGTAACAAATATCATGGTGGCAAAGAAAACGAGTTCTGGAGCTCAGTTGCTGAGATTTGAACCCTGTTGAACAACTTGCTTCGTTGGACCATGTGCAAGTTTATTTGCTGTTCTGTGAGCCTCAGTTTTCTCTTTTGTCAAATGGAATCTAATAATCCTATGTCAGGAACGTGATGTGAGGATTAAATTAAAAATATAGGCAAGATATAAAGCACGTGGCAAGTACTTTGCTCATTGCAATATTACCTACTAACGCTACTGTGATCATACAATATGCAGAAAATGATCCAGAAAAGACACAAGAGCAGTTGTTGGTGACAGTTATCTCAATGGGTGGCATAATGAGGGACTCCAACATTCTACATGATACATTTCTGTATTATTTGTAGTATTTTTACAAGTATGTGTTAGTTTTATACAGATAAATACAATTTTAAATGGTTAAAAATGTTCTCGTATTTAAAAAGCACATTGGGAGCCTTTGTGTTAAATTATGCAGTGCAGACACAGAGAACCAAAAGGCTATGTGTGGTGGGAATAGTGAGGTAGGATGAGAACTTTCTAGAAAAGGAGAGAAAGGAGAGATCCTATGGAGCCGAGCTGGGAACCAGGCTGGAGAGGAGAGGGAATAGCTGTTCAGGAGCAGCTGTGTATGTAAACTAGACACAAGACTCTATTTTATCTAGAGTTTTCCTTTTCTTGCCTTTACAAGCCCTCTTCCACTACCTCTAGCAGTCAGCTTTATCCCCTGAGAGGATTTAGGGAAATGGAAGGAGAGGTACTGACTTTGTCTACCTCATAAGAAGGGGACAAAGGGAACTATTATCCTGACCTTTCTATCTCTCCAGGAAATGGGTGTCTACCTCCTCTTTGCATTGTTTACTAAGAAGTGCTATTCAAGTGATTCTTCCTAGAATAGTGAAAGATGTTTCTAGAAGGCTTGCTTTCTCCCTGACACAGAGAAGCAGCCAGGAATTCAATTCTTAAATATCAAGCTTTTAAAGAAAATTCCATTTCACCAGGCAATCTACCATGCACGTGAGAACAGCAGCTGCTTCATATACCGGTTGTAAGATGTGATCCAGACGGTGTAGTGAAGCTGTTCACACAGGGGCAGGCACAAGGTAGGCACACCTTGGATATTCGTGTCTTAGTCTGTCTTCTGCTGCTGTAACAGAATACCTGTGATGAATTAATTTATAAACAATAGAAGTTTATTTGGCTCACAGTTCCAGAGGCTGGAAAGCGTAAGAGCACGGTGCCTGCGTCTGGGGAGGGCCTTCGTGTTGTGTCATCTCATGGCAGAAGGTGGAAGGCAAGAAAGGGTGACAGTGAGCAAGTAAGAGGAGACCAGACTCACTTTTAGAACAAAGCTACTCTTGAGATAAAGAACCCACTCCTGTGATAACAATGTTAATTCATTCTTGAGGTCAGAGCCCTCTGACCTAACCACCTTTTATTAGGTCCCCACCTCCCAAAAACTGTTGCATGGGACTAAATTTCCAATACATGAATTTGGGGGGACACATGCAAACAATAGCAATTTACAAATAATGGCCAAAACGTGTTGAGGATTTAACTGGTGAACCCAAGAGCTGAAATGGGGCTCCAGCCAGCCTTTGCCTTCAAGAGGCATATTAGTCTATTCTTATGCTACTAATAAAGACATACTCAAGACTGAGTAATTTATAAAGAAAAAGAGATTTAATGGACTGGGAAGCTGGTCTTGTTTTCTGTTCAAATCTTCAACTCATTGGATGAGGCCCACCCATATCATGAAGAGCAATCTCCTTTACTCAGAGTTCACCAACTTAATGTTAATCTCACCCAGAAACATCCTCTAAGTTGACACATCAAGTTAATCATCACAATCCTGAATGGATTCCAGGGTCCTGCTTTGGTTTCCCGTGTTGTTGTACCTGGAAAATTACCTAAGGGTCTGACCCACTTATGAACCCTGCCTTCTAAGTTTCATTGCTTAAACAAAGGCAAGTAGGATAAAGAGAGGAGTAGAAGTGGCTGCAAAATGAACGTTAGTGCACACTGACTATCTAATGGTTTAGTCCATTACACTGCGTCCAATAAGTGAGCTATTAGGCAGCCGATACAATCATAATTATGAAGGCTGTGTGGAAACAGGATTGTTTTAAGTTTAATATGAGATGAAAGAAAGCAGAAAAAAATTGCAAATATAGTTATGACTGTGTGATGTGTATTATGTAGTCAGATTAGACAGGAATAAAACAAAATGGAAATTGTCACATTGAGATGACAAAATTACTTATTTATTTAACAACTACATGTTAGGTGTTGTCTGCTACATGCCAAGCACAGTTCTAAGCCTTCAACTTTCTGTCTCTACAGATCTGCCTACTCCTGACATTGCATAGAAATAGAATAATAGAGGCCGGGAGCAGTGGCTCCCAGCACTTTGGGAGGCCAAGCGAAGACATGTGAAGAAACAACTGTGAGATTTTTTTCTCTTTAAAAATTTGCCTAATACCCACTAGAATAGTCATAGTTTTAAAAATGGACAATAATAAGTGCTAATGCGGATGTATGTAGAGAAATTAGAACTCTCAGACATTACTGGTAGGCATAAAAATGGTACAGTCTCTTTGGAAAATAAGTATGCAATGTCCAGGGCAGGCAAATAAATCCCTAGAGACAGAAAGTGGATTTGCAGTTGTTAAGAGCTGGGGGAGTGGGGAGGAGAGACCAGGGAGTGCCTGCTAAATGGCATGGGGTTCTTCTTGGAGGTGATGAAAATATTCTGGAATTAGTGGTGCTAATTGTACAACTCTGTGGCTAATTATACACTGTGAAAGGGTGAATTTTATGGTAGTGAATCATATAGCAATATAGCTGTTATTAACAATGGCCTAATGGTGTTGTTATGTTGCTTTTACAAATAAAATGTGTAATTAATGTTTTTTTAAAAAATAGTCTGCCTGTTTGTTAAGAAGTGTATGTCTGGTTCTTCAATAACAGTGACATGGCCTCAACTTACTTCAGCCAAATTCTGAGGACACCATCCAGGCAGGTTCCTGGTGTGGGCCAGGAAGTCAAGAGAAGGGAAACAACAGCTTTATTAGCTCGTTCTTGCACTGTTAAAAACACCTGAGGCTGGGTAATTTATTTGGAAAAGAGGTTTAATTCGTTCACGGTTCTGCCGGCTGTACAGGAAGTAGGGCAGCATCTACTTCTGAGGAGGCCTCAGGAAGCTTCCAGTCATGGCAGAAGGGAAAGGGGAAGCCAGCATCTCTCAGGTCCAGAGCAGGCAGAAGGCGGGTGGGAGGCCCCACACACTTTTAAACGACCAGACCTCATGAGCACTCACTATCATGAGAACAGCCCAAGGGGGAGACCCGCCCCTGTGGTCCAATCACCTCCTACCAGGCTCCACCTCCAACATTGGGGATTTCAATTCAAAATTGAATTTTGGGGAGAAACACAGATCCAAAGCACCAGCTATCACTCCCAAGCCAGGATTTCAGAACCCTGAACAGCTTCACACAGAGGGTACAAGTTTGGGAACTGAATGATTAATATACCCTCGCAGTAAACTGGGCCCAAGATTAAACAATAAAAACAATACTAATGAAGGCTGCTAGTTTGAGAATATTCAGTCTCACAGTAACCCTGTAAGACATGTTCTGTCATTAGCCTTATTTAACAGGGTGAGGAACTGAGGCCAGGAAAAGCCAAGTAATTTGCTCAAGATAGCAAAACTAGCAAGGGGTGGAGTTAGGTGTGCCCCAGTCCATTCCATTAGAGCTTGACATTTTTTTTTTTTTTTTTTGAGATGGAGTCTTGTTTTGTCACCCAGGCTGGAGTAAGTACAGTGGCACAATCTCAGCTCTCTGCAAACTTCGCCTCCCAGGTTCAAGTGATTCTCCTGCCTCAGCCTCGTGAGTAGCTGGGACTACAGGCACATGCCACCATGCTCAGCTAATTTTTTGTATTTTGGTAGAGACGGGGTTTCACCATGTTGGCCAAGATTGTCTCAATCTCCTGACCTCGTGATCCGCCTGCCTCGGCCTTCCAAAGTGCTGGGATTATAGGCATGAGCCACCACACCCGGCCTAGAGCTTGACTTTTAATCCTGGTTGCCATCTGCCTTGGTAAACCCTTGTTCTTTTCGGCCATGATACAGGTGATACAATGCTTGTGTTACTGCTTTTCTGTTTTAGTCGAGGGGCCGTAGTCCCATGTAGTTGTGTTTTGAGTCGGTCTCCAGCAGCCTGAAGAAAGAGGCTAGGTCGGAACCCAGGAGGCTGGGTCCCAGTCCAGATTCTGCCACCAAATGCACATGTAGCTCTCAGATGAGCCCCTCTTGTGTTGCCATAATACACAGCTCTGCTCATTCTCAGCGCATTTGTCATTACTTGCTCCAGACTGGCCTTCTCCGTCCCTTTGGCCTGCACTGATAATAATACCACAACTAGAACTCACAGAATGTGGCTCTGTTCTGAGTGTTTCATGTGCATTATCTCATGCAAGCCTCACTCTGACCCCATAAGGAGGCTGCTATTAGTATTTGCTTTTTACAGGTGGGGAAACTGAGGTATGGCAGGGTTACGTAACTTGGCCAACATCATCATGCAGATGGTATGATGGAACCAGGAATCTACAGAGGCAATTTGATGCCAACTTCAGAATGTGGAGGCTCATGGTATCACTCTACCTCCTACAATGTCAACTGTATATGGGCAGAGGTATGGCTGCCTGGTCACCACTGAATCCCCAGCAATTACCTACCTCAAGGCCTACTACAAGGCACAGGCCTAACAAGTATTAAGGAAAGACTGACTGACTGAATGAATGAATGAATGAATGGCTTCTATCCAAGTTGCACAAGGCCTAACCTAACCTCCCATACACACTGGAAGTTAATACTGTTAGTCTCCCTGATTCATTTACTCTGTTTTCTCCATAGGCTGTGGTTATTGTCAACAAGCCAAGAGAAAGGCTTCACTATACACCGTCATTCATATACTCCCCACTTTCAAGTTTTTGTTCATATATTCCTGATGCCTAATTGTTTCTCTTGTGAGGTTTGAATGAAAAGAAACATTTACACAGGGTACAGTGGCTCATAGCTGTAATCCCTGTACTTTGGGAGACTGAGGTGGGAAGATCGCTTGAGCCCCAGTGTTTGAGACCAGCCTGGGCAACATGATGAAAACCCCATCTCTAGAAAATATAGAAAAAAATAGCTGGATATGGTGGTGGTTGCCTGGAGTCCCAGCTACCTAGGAGGCTGAGGTGGGAGGATCACTTGAGCCCCTGAAGTCAAGGCTGCAGTGACCCATAATTGTGCCACCACATTCCAGCCTGATGACAAAACAAGCCCTTGTCTCGAAAAAAAAGAAAAGAAAAGAAAGAAACATTTACTTCACCGGATGCTAGGGAAGAATAGGGATCATTTGCTCCTTGCCCACCCAGGTCTATGCCACAATTTGCTCTTCTTTCCCTTTGGGTGGGTTGTTTTTATTGATTTACTCAATCAGTGGCCCTGCCACAAATGCTCCCCAAGAGCCATCACCTGCGGGTCCCCTTCACTTACCCTCTCTCTGGAGCTTGCCCACTTCTCCTTGACACCCTTTACAGGAAGCGGTGCCGCGTTCACAGCTGTGTGGACTGCCGCTCTACAGAACACAGCTCCCACACTGGGTGCCGTGGGGTCCTATTGGTTGCTGGCAGCTTTTTTTGGGTTGTTCATTTCCACCGCATAGCACTAATAGCTTTTGCAGAGCTCTCCTGGGATGTGGACTATTTTGTATTTGTAAGACACCTTTATGGAAATGGCCTCCAGGTTTTAAAGTGTCGTGTGACCACTTGTTCAGTTGGAGATGACTGTGCCAAGGCCTCATTCATCGGAAAGTGAAAGTGTGTGGCCAGTACGTGTGACCTTGAGCATGTCCTTGTGGCACTGGATGTCTCTGTAGTACTCCAGTGAGGCTGGTTGTATAAAATAATGTTAGGTAATAAAATAAGAGTTTTTTTTTTTTTACTGATTTTAATGATTGTTCTGCTAGCACTTTAAAGTCGGTGAGAGAATACAAAGGAAGTTCAATTGTGTGGGGACAGGCTAAGAAAAGAGGAAAGGAAGGAAGCGTTCAGTTTGAAAGCTGGGAGGTTTTGCCCTTCCAAAGAGTGACATGGGATCCACTCAAATGCCAAGTTCTCATCCTCATCTTCAGGGTAGCGGTCAGAAAGAGGTTTCCAGAACCATCATTGGAACCCCTATTCTGTGCTGGCCACCCTTTCAGTGTTTAACTCTCATAACACTGTTATGAGAAAGGGATGATTGACTTATTTTGTAGTTTGATAAACTGACCCTCAAGAAAATGACATGACTTGGCCAGTGCCACACTGCCCAGAGACTGAGTCACTACTTAAACTCGCGGTTGTCTGACGCCAGAGCCAGGCTTTCCCCTCTCTGCCACCTGCATGCTGGCAACAGAAGGCAACCACATCAGTGACCACAGCAAGAAGGACCTGTTCCATGTCCCGAGTCTGGTAGGCACCACTCTTTGTCACTTAGAGGATTCTCCCAGCTGCTCTTCCTTGGTGTCCAGTAAGTAAAACACCTTTCGAATGACAAAAAACAGAACAATCTCTTATAGGAAACTGAATTCTCTATTACACACAAACTTGGAGAAGGATGCCTCCAAAGATAGAGTAGCTGATGGTAGACGCTATAAAAAGAAAGTCCCCTGTACGGAGGAAGAAAGGGGCGGAAAGGAACTGGCCAGAGACGTGAATCACCCTGGGTGCTTCCACAGAAAAAGCCTGAGGAGGCCCCTGTGTTTGTTTCCATGGCTCCCACCCACCCCGGCAGAACTCATTTCCTCTGTGGCACTCCCTGATGCTCTGAGAGGTCCTCTCATTGCTCAGATATTTGTTGAGTGTTTCCACGTTCTGGTATATAGTTAAGACTAGGTTCTCCTGCCAACAATAACACAAACATATGCAGTGGCTTAAATAAGACACGGTTTATTTTCTCTCATGCAAAGTCTACAGGTTGGCCATGCAGGAAAAACATGGCGGCTCCTTGGTGTTGTCAGGGACTCTGGCTCCTACTTTCTGCTCTCCTTCCCTTGCCTGAAGCTTCTTTCTTCAAAGTCACCTCACACTCTGAGATGGCTCCTGGAGCCCTTCATAGGTTGGAAGAAGGAGGAAAAACAGAAGTCAGGAAAAGAACCTTTCCCAAATAAATCACCTGCTTTTAAACAGCCTTCCACAGAATCCCAAATAATGCTTCTCCCTGCTTCTCATTGGCTAGAATTTATTCACATGCCTATATTTGGCTGGAGAGTATAACTGTATTTTGGAGGTTGCTGGGCAGCAATGTGCACATCTACAATTTTATGGGGACATACTGATGGAAGAATGTTTTAACAGACGAAGGTCAGCAAACAGTGGTCCACAAGCCAAATCTGGCCCACCACATGCTTTTGTAAATAAAGTTTTATTGGTACACAGCCAAGCTCATTCATTCTCATATTTCTTATGGATATTTTTGTGTTACAACAATAGGTATTTGTGATCATATGTGGCCTGCAAAGCCTAAAATATTTATGATCTAACACGTCACAGCGAAAGTTTGCTGACTCCTAAAATAGACAAACAGCAAATAGTAATTTGTGGTAAATGCCCCACCACCAGGCACTGGGCTTGGCACAAAGGTTCATGGCTGTGGGTTCCATTCTTAGTTGACTGACTGTCCAGGGGATAAGACAGCCAAGTCAAATTCTAACTGCAATATTGTGTGATGAGTGGAACTGTTCCATTCTGTTCAGTGTGTTACAGGACCACAGAGGACACCTCAAACAGACTGTAGAGAGGGAGGGTAGGCAAGCTTTCTACACTAGCTTAAAGGATGAGAAGTTAGAAAAGAGAAGAGCAG